TGTGGATCCCATAGATAAGGGAGCTGTGAAACCAATGGATCAGTCAGTCACATGATGTCTTCTGAAACGTGATGTCTACTGTATGTTTTTTTAGTAGTATTGTCTCTGAGACTGCTGTTTGTCCATCTCTTGACGCTGGCCTCCAATCTGTATCATTGTCTACTTCTTGCTTTCTTTGTGACCCTTTGAAAATAAAGTTTGTTCAATGATTTGTTCTCTTGCTTCTTCTTTGTTCACCGGCTGTAAGCTTCGGCGGAAAGTCTTGTTGTTCATCCATTTAGACTTTGTGTCTGGGCCCCAGTTTTGTGTGTACATCTGTTCTACTGGCTCTTTTGTGTGCAGTTAATTGTAAAGTGACGCTCTACACTCAGAGGAAAGGTAAGACCTATAATCAAACCGCTACCGGTACATCGGAATAAGAACTCTTCGCTGGCTGCTGAAGATGAGGACAGAGTGCATATGGGAATGTCCTGAGTGCTGTAGCATCAGTTTTTAGCTCAAAACTCAGCTGGGATCAAGCGGACAGTGCTATGGAACAGGCTTTCCTTACCTTGAAGACAGATTCACCATTGGAACAGATTATCTATACCTTCACGGACTTGATTCAGCAATGTAAAAGACTTTCCATACCTTGACAGACTTGATTCAGCAAAATGAGACTTTCCATACCTTTACAGAAGGAACAGACTATCCATACCTTGACAGATTCAGCAATGGAACAGACTATCCATACTTTGACAGATTCAGCAATGGAATAGACTATCCATACCTTGACAGATTCAGCGATGGAATAGACTATCCATACCTTGACAGATTCAGCAATGGAACAGACTATCCATACCTTGACAGATTCAGCAATGGAATAGACTATCCATACTTTGACAGATTCAGCAATGGAACAGACTATCCATACCTTGACAGATTCAGCAATGGAATAGACTATCCATACCTTGACAGATTCAGCGATGGAATAGACTATCCATACCTTGACAGATTCAGCAATGGAACAGACTATCCATACCTTGACAGATTCAGCGATGGAACAGACTATCCATGCCTTGACAGATTCAGCAATGGAATAGACTATCCATACATTTACTTGATTCAGCAATGGAACAGGCGCTCCATACCTTGACTTGAGTCAGCAACTTAAAATGCTCTCATATCTTGACAGACTTGATTCAGCAATGAAACAGGCTCTCTATAGCTTGACAGATTCAGCAATGGAACAGACTATTGATACCTTGACAGACTTGATTCAGCAATGTAACAGGCTCTCTATACCTTGACAGATTGATTTAGCAATGGAATAGACTATGCATACATGGTATCGGAGAAGTGCAAGGGTTATAGAGCATTGTAGTCAGTGGGTTAGGTTGCAACTGGTTAATCAGTAAGGGCGACTCTTTACTGGCTACGGAGGAAGAGGCAGAATAAGTGTGTCAATGCCCCAAGTCTAGTGATGCCAATTCTGCTTCCCAGTACAAATGTTTGCACAAGAGAACAAGAGCTCTGCCTCTGTCCCCATGGAGATTGAAATTAAATGCCAGATCAGGAGAAAAATGCCAACAATCTTAACTTGATGTTTTTTGGAGCTCAAATGTCTTGAACGTCCATGTGACGTCTTCCAGGATTCTTCGACCACTTTTAGACTTTGGTCTTGTTCCAGAATTCAAGTTTTGTTTGTTGACTCACAACTAACATGTTCCTTGAGCAACTAGCATCTACCCCTTTCAAAATATTCCCTTGAAGACAAGAAGCAGGCATGCTATGATTTATGAACCAATCATCAAAATATCAAGCATGGCAACAAAACACAATGCTATGATAATTCTGTTTAATGTACACAAATACTGTAAGCAAACAAACAAACAAACAATCGCTGGCAAGCAACTTCTACAACAGAGGGCTATGTTTTCAAAGTATTACATGAAACCAACTAATTGGCAGAGAAAAGTCAAAACAGAAAACAAAAATGTAAAATGTAAATAGTTCAAACACATGCTAAGAAAAAAAAAAAAGGGATATACAAGGAAACATTTCCAAACCCAGTTTTTCATGGGTAAAAAGTTCAAGAAAGCAAACAAAAAATGTAATTATCACTGATAAGAAAAGGAGAAAAACAATATTCAACAACATCAAGCTGGAAAGCAAAACATTCTGCTTCTGTGTTTCCAGGCATCACAAAGAAATATCACAAATACCTGACAGGTAACTCACTGAAAACAAATCCTGTGCTGTTATGCTATTTATTATCCAAGATCAAGTCCAGTGTCAGAAACTCAATGTTTGACATCACACAATATCTGCGTCAGATCTCACAAAGCTTACTGTATCAAGATAGTTTCTCTTTCGGGACACAGCAACAGTTTTAAAACATATATTAAAAATGAAACTGGTTATAAAAACACACCTAAAATGTTCAGCCCTGTTATGGGGGAAAAAAAAAAGGAAACCTGTTTATTCAGTTGAAAATATTCATCAGCTATTTAAAGATGGCAAGAAAATACAAACTATCATAAAACATGTACTACAAAGACAATGATGACAGGAGCTTGGGGTATGAGAAAAACCACCACACAGATACTGCTGCTGAAATGTGCACAAGATTATACAGTGAACGAACCTGCCTGACAAATGCAAGTGTTTTTTGTGTAGTCACGGCTGCTACAATTTCAGATGAAGTAGAGTTAGTGTCTTATATCTCCCTCCGTTACAAATGATGCCAGCATCATATACCCAGTACATGGAACACTGTTGTTTATTCTGCAATTTGACCTTTTGTTTGATTTTGACTAAAGCAAATGTGTGGATACTATTATTCCTAAGGGGCAGACAACAACTCAATTTAAAGTCATCCGATGTATAAAGTTAATGCTGCTCATATTATTACTGTTTGTTGAAAAGCTCTACAGCAAGCATCCTGTCTGCCTCTGCCTCTCCTGCCAATTAATTTCCCTAAAGTGAATCCTAATCTATTCCACATCTCCTTCTGCCATAGCCAATCATCCTTGATTCTGATCGGTGATCTTGTCACATCAGCAGCATGTTTCTTCTTCTGCCCACATCATCCTTGATTCTGATCAGTGATCTTGTCCCATCAGCAGCATGTTTCTTCTTCTGCCCACATCATCCTTGATTCTGATCAGTGATCTTGTCACATCAGCAGCATGTTTCTTCTTCTGCTCACATCATCCTTGATTCTGATCAGTGATCTTGTCACATCAGCAGCATGTTTCTTCTTCCTTGCCTCTTCTCAAACACCACATGCCCACTGCCTGGTTTCTTCACCATCCCACCCCTCCTCCTTACCCAGCATCTGCATTTATTTGTTGCTCATGTTTCTGTGTTTCGTAAGACTGGTTACTCTTGTGATGATCTCTGTCTGTGGTGATTCCTTTGCTGCGTGTCACACATTCCATCAGATCTCACTACAATGTTGGGTTCACTACATTTGTCGAATGCTCTAATTCCTATAAACAGAAAATGTTGTGGTGACTGGCATACATGAAACACCCCACATCCTGCGGTGACCATAAATCATGGGCTGCATTATAAATACAATAAGAAGTCCATAAAAACGGCAAATATTAAGTGGTGTTGACAGTACTTTCCTTGCATTTTGTAATTGTAAAAGTTTTGAAAACTTTAGCGCTGTGTTTCTGCCAAAATGTGACAGCCTGAACCACCCTTGCTTGAAAAGTGTAACATTTATTTATTTATTTTAAAAAAAAAAGTTGCACTATCCAATTCTTGAGTACACACAAATTGTTAATGCAAGACACTGTAACAAGGATGAATTATGGGTGGTGCAAGAAAGAGGGGAGACGAAGAGAGAGAGAGAGAAAGAACTCAAGGATCTAAGTCAGAAACCAGGTCATTGAACATCTGCTACATCATCACACAATTCCTGGACTGATGCTAGAATGGTTTTCAAGACAAAGCATTGATGTTCCACCGCCACAACAAATATACTATTACTAAGCTCACTAAAACAAAATAAAACCATACTGATTCCAGTTACCGAAACAATTCTTGGATGTAAGAGGGAAAAAAGCTGATTCTCATGTTCGTAAAGAGAACTTTATTGTTTCCAAAAAAACATTTTAGGCTGACCATCAGCAGTGGCGAGTGGATCCTTATCCCCTTGGTGATAGTTATTCATTGATTTGGGCCCCTTGCTGATCCAGTCCAAAATTAGCACTGGAAAATGTCTGGTAAGTGGGTCTGCTGTACTACTTCACACCTTTGTTAGATGTCCACCTGAATATACTTAAAGAAAACAGCAGACAACCTCAAGTTGTTGACCTTTCCCCACTGACTTGATTTTGACCTCAGGCACCGGCTAGAATCATTTTTTGTCCCTGCATAGTTTTCCACTGTGTCTATTATTTCCTTTTAGTTTTTTCATTGTGGTTTTTGTACCCCTCTTATAGTTTTCCAGTGTGGTTCCTGTGCCCTCTTTTGGTTTCCCACAGTAGCTATTGTTCCTCTTATAGTTTTCACTGTGGTTTGTGTTTCCTCCTCCAGTTTTTTACTGGGTTGTTGCCGTCTCCTATCACACTGTTCGCTGTGGTTATTGTCCTCTTCTGACAATGAAAGAATTACAAAGACACCACCAGTATAATACCCAATGCCACAATATATTCTCTATACTGTAAACAACATTCACAGAGATATGCTATATACTGAAACTTCACACTTATGCTTTTTAACAAGCAAAAATATGACTGATGTTAAAGCAATTTCAGGCAACTTATAACTGCAGTTCTGTACCATCAGCTGCTGTGATCACAAAACAGTTTCACATTTCACTAACAAAGGACAAACCAAAACCAATTTCTCAGAACCACAAATGGCCACCAGTAACACTGTGACATTACATAAAAGGAATCTTGTGAACAAAATGTGTAGCAGATGCTCCTCATGGTCTTCTGATCCAGCTTGAGTCTTATGTTAGGAGCAAAAAAAAACACCCTCTCTCTCTGCTTAGCTTCCAATTAATCATCTCTTCTTCTCCGTTTCCCTGCCTCCTGAAATGAATAACCATACAAATGCTGCAGACATGTAATAAAAGAATATAGCGGTGAGGAAGTGTCTACAATTTTTCAAAAATTAACAAAATGTTGGGTAGAGCTAACAGAATGAAATATAACTGTGGTATTGTAGGCTATTATTAGCTTTTAGTTTTTTCTGTGGCGTAAGGCAACAAATAAAACTAGAAGATACAGACAGCCCACACCTGGAGAGAAGGTTTCAGGGGGGGGGGGGGGGGGGGGGGGGTCTGTGGGTCTGGGCACCACTCAAGACTCAGAAAAGGCAAGACAAGTAGTTAACCAGAAGATCAGTATGGAGACTTTTCGCTGGATGTTGAAGAGGAAGACAAAGCTAATATGGGCTTGTCCTGAATGCTGTGATGTCGAATATTATCCAGATCTGGCATACACAATTTTTAAAACTGTTATTCTGATTTAGTTTTCTGCGCCCACATCTACATTCTATAGTCATGTCATGAGAAAAAGATATGTGGATTACATGGTGATGTTTGGAAAGGTGGAAGGGAAACCAAGAGAGAAGATGCTGAACAGTTTAACATCATGCCATGGAGGTTCATCAGTGTCAGAATTGATTGAAAGTATATAAGACCAAAGATTGTGGATACGACTACTAATACCACACCTCACTGACTTTAAGAAATCTTAAATATAAAAAATGTTAAATAAATTTTTTAAAAAATTAAATAAATGGTGGTGTAATGATGCTATAAATAGGGATAACGTCAGGGTTTGACTGAATTGGGGAAGTCCCTGATAGCATGGGTTTTACGGCGATATGGTGAACAGACAGATTTTAGTGAGTCATGTGTGAATGTGAGATTGAGAATGAGGTGGTCATTCGATGACTGGACCCCAGACTGGAAGGACTTGAAGTTGAATCCAGAGTGATAAGTGTACACGTGGATCTGGATGAGAATCGCCTGAATGTTAGTCCTGAACGACAAGAAATGGAGCAGTGTTGAATGATTGTTTAGGCCAGCAGTTGTGCTCCATGGCCTGTTGGTTATGCTAGTCAGATACATGCCAGGGTCCATCGTCTGAAGCGTGGCTGGAAACTCAGAGCGTGAGCAAAGGCAAGATTGCCCGAATGGCGTAAGTTAGTTCTACTGTTGATTCGTGTCGCTTGTGTTGCACTGACAATAAACCTGTGAAGTGCGTCGACTGTCGTCGACCATCATTTAAAGTTGTGTGGCAGTTGGAGAGAAGTGCAGTCTGGCTGGAATGAACAGTAACATAACACCCAGACAACAGAGTCAGTGTTGAATCTGCACCAGAGAGATTAAGTGTGGAGGAGACACATTACAGGTGGGTTCTGAATATTTAAAAATCCCCGTCTAGGTTCTGGGACTTTATTATAGGGACAACAAGAATAGACCCATTGCCTACCTAAAAGCATGACGTAAGAGTCGGCTAAGTGGGAGCTTCCTTTGAAGTCAGAGTACATCTGCCTTCGAGGCAAGGAACCATCAGTGTGCACACAAATTAGTCATATCTGTAAAACGGATGTGCATGAAAAAATCAGGTTCTGGAACAGGACTACAGTCCAGAAGTGGATGAACAACCAGAACTTTCTGCCGGAGTTCACAGCTGGTGAACGTGAAGAAGAAGAATATTTGAAAGTGTCTACCCCTGACAGGACAAAGAACAATGCAATGAGTCACACCAGATGACGCAATACTACCAGTAATGTTTCCTCCTCATGTTTTTCCCCACTACAAGTCAATACAACCCCATGTTTTGCTGTTCGGGACCTTATCTTGACAGGTCATACAGATACAACTGTCTTACACATATGGCCTGTTCCCACAAGCTGACATCACGACTCACTGCACAAATATCAAATTAAGGCCATGGTTCTAGAATTCTCTGGCTTATCTTTGTCAAAACTTGAGTTATGCGTGAACATCCAGTTTACAGATCTGGCTTATTTGTATGCAGATTTGATCCCTTGCCTCTCAGGCAGATGCACTTCAACTTCGAAGGAGAACAATTAATTAGTCAATTCTTTTTCTTCTTCTTCTTCTTCGCGTTCACCAGCTGTACAGGTGGATTGTTCTAGTTGCTCTTCCACTACTGAACTGCAGTCCTGCTCCAGAACCTGAGTGTTGCATGTGCATCAGTTTTACAGATCTCATTCTCTTGAATACAGACTGTTGGTTCCTTGCCTCTCCGGCAGATGCACTCCGACTTCAAAGGAAGCTCCCCAATTAGTCGACTATTACGACAGGCTTTTGGGAAGGCAGTGGGTCTATTCTTGTTTTCCCCACAATGCGGCCCCGGAACCCACATGGGGGTGTCAATTCTTAAGATATGCTTGTTAGGGGGACAATGGGTCTGGGTCTACTCTTTCACCCCCCCCCCCCCAAATGTGGCCACAGACACCCACACGGGTAGGACCCCAATCCTAAGAATTAAGACGTGTTGCCTTAGTAGCTACCGACTGGGAAGACTCTACGTTTTGTATGTGATTACCAGGGGGAAGTTACAGAGAAACAACATACAGACAAATACTCACTTTATTAGCCAAAATGATCATCAGAGATCTGAAGATGTCGATGGCATCGATGAAAAGGCTGACGGCATGCCTGAAAAATAAACCATGTTGTGGTCAGTCAAAGCTAGTCAAGGGTTCCAGGTTGTCACCAGCATGAGCTAGTCTGCTCATTAACCCCCCCCCCCCCCAAACACACTCAGGGGGAAAGGTCATGAAACATAAAATCTCCCCCTACCCCCAAAAAATCCTTGAGAAAATTACACAGGTCACTAGTTTAAAAAAAAAAAAATTAGACCTTTTTAGAATATATGAAGGGGGGATCAAAAGCATCGGAGAATAAATGGAATACACTCCCTCGACCGTAAAAAAAAAAAAAAGTATACAGTGACTCATACTGCAACCCCTTTGCTATGCAACCACTAAAGGCAAATTATGATGTCATTCATAATAAAAATTTCTAAAATAGTAAATATAATCTCAATTGGCCCTGCTAAACACTGCACAGGCACAAACAGAACCAACGCCATTAACTAAGCTTGTCAGGGACTAGTCAATGCCATAAAGCTGAAATATAGGCTTCATGAGGATTTGTAGTAGACGGCAAAGTCAAACTATCAACATCTCGCGGCTGTCAAGAGTCTTGTAGGGGTTGAGATAAAGTAAATGTAAGACTGCCAGTAAAATATAAAATATTATCATGGTGCACACACAAACCACAAGGGCTAGGTGAGTTACTGAAAATGAGCTCAAGCGTCCAAGAGGACGGCCTGGACAACTACAATTTTGCGATACCACATGGGGGCAGAGCAGTGATAGCACGGCTAGTAGTAGTAGTGGTAACATTTTTACATGTAAATTAACTGCAATAATTTTGACAAAACTAGAAAGAATTATGTCGCTGTCATTCCTTGCAATTTGTTTTGTGAACGTCCAATGGTCAAAAGAAGTCATAGTAAAGTATTATACCTTAGTAGTCACAATTATTACGCCTACCTCATGATGACAAGTGAATGAACAGATCAGGGAGTGAGAAAAAACCTTACAACCTGCCATAAGCTGCTCTGTACACATGTGACCTCACCTTACCACCTGCCTCTCGCGATCTCACCTTACCACCTGCCTCTCGCGATCTTACCTTACCACCTGCCTCTCGCGATCTCACCTTACCACCTGCCTCTCGCGATCTCACCTTACCATCTGCCTCTCGCGGTCTCACCTTACCACCTGCCTCTCGCGGTCTCACCTTACCACCTGCCTCTCGCGGTCTCACCTTACCACCTGCCTCTCACGCCCTCATCTTACCATCTGCCTCTTGCGCCCTCACCTTACCACCTGCCTCTCGCACCCTCACCTTACCACCTGCCTCTCGCGCCCTCACCTTACCACCTGCCTCTCGCGCCCTCATCTTACCACCTGCCTCTCGCGCCCTCACCTTACCACCTGCCTCTCACCTTACCACCTGCCTCTCACGCCCTCATCTTACTACCTGCCTCTCACCTTACCACCTGCTTCTCGCGCCCTCACCTTACCATCTGCCTCTCGCGATCTCACCTTACCATCTGCCTCTCGCGGTCTCACCTTACCACCTGCCTCTCGCGCCGTCACCTTACCACCTGCCTCTCGCGCCCTCATCTTACCATCTGCCTCTCGCGTCCACATCTTACCACCTGCCTCTCGCGCCCTCATCTTACCATCTGCCTCTCGCGCCCTCATCTTACCATCTGCCTCTCGCGCTATCATCTTACCATCTGCCTCTCTAGCCCTCACCTTACCACCTGCCTCTCACGCCCTCACCTTACCATCTGCCTCTCATGCCTTCACCCTACCACCTGCCTCTCACGCCCTCATCTTACCATCTGCCTCTCGCGCCCTCATCTTACCATCTGCCTCTCATGCCCTCACCTTACCATCTGCCTCTCACGCTCTCACCTTACCACCTGCCTCTCACGCCCTCACCTTACCACCTGCCTCTCACGCCCTCATCTTACTACCTGCCTCTCACCTTACCACCTGCTTCTCGCGCCCTCACCTTACCATCTGCCTCTCGCGATCTCACCTTACCATCTGCCTCTCGCGGTCTCACCTTACCACCTGCCTCTCGCGCCGTCACCTTACCACCTGCCTCTCGCGCCCTCATCTTACCATCTGCCTCTCGCGCCCTCATCTTACCATCTGCCTCTCGCGCCCTCATCTTACCATCTGCCTCTCGCGTCCACATCTTACCACCTGCCTCTCGCGCCCTCATCTTACCATCTGCCTCTCGCGCCCTCATCTTACCATCTGCCTCTTGCGCTATCATCTTACCATCTGCCTCTCTCGCCCTCACCTTACCACCTGCCTCTCACGCCCTCACCTTACCATCTGCCTCTCATGCCTTCACCCTACCACCTGCCTCTCACGCCCTCATCTTACCATCTGCCTCTCGCGCCCTCATCTTACCATCTGCCTCTCGCGTCCTCATCTTACCATCTGCCTCTCATGCCCTCACCTTACCATCTGCCTCTCACGCTCTCACCTTACCACCTGCCTCTCGTGCCCTCACCTTACCATCTGCCTCTCACGCCTTCACCCTACCACCTGCCTCTCGCGATTTCACCTTACAACCTGCTCCTCACACCCTCAGCGTATCGCACACCTTACTGCCCGCCTTTCGCTCACTTACCTTACCACCCTCACTTTACCACAGGCCTCTTGAGCCCTCATCTTACCACCTGCCCTCACTTTACTTACCACCTGCTGCCTAACACGCCCTGAAATTCCCACCTGCCTCTCGTACCCTGCCCTTCCTACTCAACTCTCATGCCCTCATCTTACCACCCACCTCTCCCATCCTGATCATACCACCCTGACAGCGAAGAAAAAGGTTGAGAGTAATCTACACATCAATGAAACTATCCAGTAGTACTTTATCTCACAGATCATACAGAGAGAAGGCTGGCTCAGCGGGTACACATTTGTTTACTAAATTCAACAATAAGATCATAAGGAAAGAAGGCTAGCTCAGTTGGTACACATTTGCTTACTAAATTCAACAAACAGTGTTTAAAAACGCATTTTAACAAGACTCACCAGATGAAGTCATCATCTCCCCTGCGCTTCTTTTCAACAATAAGCTGTGTGTCATACAGGACAAACGCAGAGAAAATTCCAAGGCTTGCAAAATTCACAATCTACAAGGCAAATGCAAACAGAGACAAGGTTTCAGTGCTTGTGGTCCCCAATAAATAAAGGTCAAATACACTTATTCTTCCTGTAATCCCCATCATGTGATCTCAGTCACCATGTCTGTTTTCAGCCTTCTATCTGGTGGGGAAGAGGTCAAGTTGTATGCCAACTGCTATGAAGGTCGTTGATTCATTTTTGAACTGCACCACTCAGTTCATAAGTGTAATGTTTTTCTGATCGTGGTCTCGAGGCATGGTGTTCGCCCCCAAGTGCTAGAGGTCCCGGGTTCAAGCGCTGGTGAAGGCTGGGATTTTTTAAAGCAGACTTTTGGTAATTTCCCCTGGTCTCTGGGGAGTAAGATCGGACGTCCGTATGTATTGTTGCGTACATAAAAAAAAAAATTCCTTGGCAGTTGGAAATTAAAAAGAGTAGCTAACAGTGCTGCCTGGGCAAAAATTTGAAGCCTGTGCCCTGCGCTACTTTGGACGCAGACTTGAGTCAGAAGTAGAACGAGCACTTATGGGTTACTACTCATGTGCCATGATGTTGATCTGTTGTTCAAACCTCAAAGTTTTTCTGAGATCTCTAGGGACTGCTGTAAGAGCTTTAGAGTTATGTAATTTGAAAAAAAGGAAACATCTTAATATCTCAAGATTTATTTCTTCAAATAATATTTTATGAATTCTATATATCTAAGTAATAAATGATCCTAGTTATGATCTCTCCTAAACATGAAGATCAGGGCTATTCAACTGGTGGCCCATCGAGGCCTAACAAGTAGCCTGTGGATCAATGCCAACTGTTATTGTATTAATGATCTTTCTATGCTGGCGCTCAAGTCTACGGCACACGACAATCCCCATTTTCAAAATATTCCACTTGGATTACGTTATTTACTCTGGTGCTGCTCTCAACTACATCCAACCACTTCACAAGTGCGAGTCCTCAAGGTTCACTGCTGCAGATATCACGCGCCTGTATTTCCCATTTATCTCTCCGACTGGCCTTCTCCATCCAGTGCGAGCCCTCAAGGTTCACTGCTGCAGATATCATCCGCCTGTATTTCCCATTCATCTCTCTGACTGGCCTTCTCCATCCAGTGCGAGCCCTCAAGGTTCACTGCCGCAGATATCATCCGCCTGTATTTCCCATTCATCTCTCTGACTGGCCTTCTCCATCCAGTGTGAGTCCTCAAGGTTCACTGCTGCAGATATCATCTGCCTGTATTTCCCATTCATCTCTCTGACTGGCCGCCTCCATCCAGTGTGAGTCCTCAAGGTTCACTGCTGCAGATATCATCCGCCTGTATTTCCCATTCATCTCTCTGACTGGCCTTCTCCATCCAGTGTGAGTCCTCAAGGTTCACTGCCGCAGATATCATCCGCCTGTATTTCCCATTCATCTCTCTGACTGGCTTTCTCCATCCAGTGTGAGTCCTCAAGGTTCACTGCTGCAGATATCATCTGCCTGTATTTCCCATTCATCTCTCTGACTGGCCGCCTCCATCCAGTGCGAGCCCTCAAGGTTCACTGCCGCAGATATCATCCGCCTGTATTTCCCATTCATCTCTCTGACTGGCCTTCTCCATCCAGTGTGAGTCCTCAAGGTTCACTGCTGCAGATATCATCTGCCTGTATTTTCCATTCATCTCTCTGACTGGCCGCCTCCATCCAGTGCGAGCCCTCAAGGTTCACTGCTGCAGATATCATCTGCCTGTATTTCCCATTCATCTCTCTGACTGGCCGCCTCCATCCAGTGCGAGCCCTCAAGGTTCACTGCTGCAGATATCATCTGCCTGTATTTCCCATTCATCTCTCTGACTGGCCTTCTCCATCCAGTGCGAGCCCTCAAGGTTCACTGCTGCAGATATCACGCGCCTGTATTTCCCATTTATCTCTCCGACTGGCCTTCTCCATCCAGTGCAAGCCCTCAAGGTTCACTGCTGCAGATATCATCCGCCTGTATTTCCCATTCATCTCTCTGACTGGCCTTCTCCATCCAGTGTTAGTCCTCAAGGTTCACTGCTGCAGATATCATCTGCCTGTATTTCCCATTCATCTCTCTGACTGGCCGCCTCCATCCATCCAGTTAGTGACTTCAAGTGTTTGTAGGTCTGCCTGCAAATTATCTCCCCAATCGTCTTCTTGGTGTGCCTCGTGGTCTATTCTCATTCAATCTTTTGTGTCTGCAGTCTGTTCCTCTCTGTTATCTGCCATTCTCTCGATATGACACAACCATCACAGTGTTTTAGCCCTGATGATGCCAGCAATAAGTAGCCACTGAAACAGATTTTATGTATATTGTTGTTGCTTCTCTGAATTCTCCACCATCATTGTAAGAAAATATTCTTCAAAATCACGACTGCTCAAACTGATTTACTGCACACACACACAAACTCACATCAAACCCCAAACGGGAGCCCGTCAGCCTGCTGATTAATGAGAATATCATCAAGTACATAAGACTGGACATCAGGAAACCTGTCGACAGAATCAGATCACATGAGTTTCAACTCAGCAAAAGCAACATCGTCATAACATGCTAGCAACCAGCTTTTTCTGCATGGGTATGTTGTTGTTGTTGTTTACAGGTAGGTTGTGAAACCTGTGGCTTTTGGTCCAACACATCTGATTTCAGCGCATCCTTAACTCTTTGAGTCCCAAGGAACGCGTCATACGTTTCTTAGATTTCTACCTAGAAGCCCAATGAACACAAGATGTGCCGATTTTATGTTTTTCTTGACTACCCCTTGGGCCTGTGATGCTAAACCTTCTGGGACTCAAAGAGTTAATTACCTGCCTCTTAGGCATGCTTATTAACTCTCACAACAGTTAAATTAGTTGTAAATAACCATGTAATGGGTTCCTTGGTTCCATTTAGGTGAAGGAGCAATGGGTCTATTCCCCCCCCCCCCTCTTCCAACCACAAAATGGGGCCCTAGAACTTAGATCTAGACAGGGTTGAACATTTGTATTGAACATTCAATGTAAGATAACACTTATAAAGTTTACATCCCGTGTTCATCTTCTTCCACCAAAACAGTTATTCAGCTCAATGGACAATTCAATGCTTTGTTAGCCATGTGGAGATTCATGAGGCAAGTTAGAGGACTAATGCATTCAGCTGTGGAAATAATGATCACCATCTCTCTAGTGCCAGCAACAACAACAAAAGGTGTGGAACTAGACATATGTAGCAAGAAGCTTCAACGACACTGTCGGGGCCCCATATTAAGAGAAGAAAAGAACAGACCCACTCACTCTCTAACAAGTGACCTAAAAGTCAATTAGGGGTGTATCCTTCAAAGTTGGAGTGCATCTGCTGTAGAGGTGAGGAACCAACAGTCTGCTGTTAAATAAGTCAGATCTGTGAAACGGATGTGCACGAAAAACTAAATTTCTGGAACAGGACACAGTCCAGAAGCGGTTGAACCAACAGAACTTGTAGACTGCAGTGTACAGCCAGTGAATGTGAATAAGAAACAAAAAAGATTAATATTAACACACTATGCTTGCCCAGCCTAGGGGGTACAAGTATCTTACAGTTCTGTCAGGGGGTTGGGGGACATAGGTACCACGTGTGCTTGAAATACTGCTGATTTGTCATTAACTCCATACTGTACCTCCGTTGACTCATAGCTGGGTTATGCATTATTTTGCACTTATTAGGATTTTTTTTTCCATTTTGGTCTTCATTGGCCGGGGAGATGCCTCAGGGATCAAGTTAGCTTCACATAAACAGACAGAAGTGCTGCCCCTCTCCGGCCATCAGCTTAATTTAGGAAAGAGCAAAACTTCTAATATAGTATTACAAAGTTGACCAACCTCCCATGTAGAGGAAAGTCCTGCTACGGGTCAGTAGAGCAGACATGGTGAAGCTGATGAAGATTAAAGCAGTGCCCGCCAGCGCTGTCACGATGATGCTGCACAAGATAAACCACATGTTTAAAAACAAATCAAAAATAAACAAGTAATTAAACAAAAAGAAATGCAACCATACACAATCAGAGATTCGTACGAAAAGCTCTTATCCTAACAACAAGAGGTGGGATTAGGAATGATGAATCCGATGGAAAATGGGGGTAGTGGCAGCTCTGGATTTAATTACAAGACCACAGGTGTATTGGCTTGGCCAAATAATGAGGATGTCAGCAAGCATCCCTTTTCAGAAGTGCACAAATATGTACGTTCCCCCATATATATATATATATATATATAAATCTCTCTCTGTCTCTCGTGTGTGTGCGCGCACGAGAGCAAGAGAAAGGGGAGGGGTAGCTTAATGTGTGTTGTTAACGGGGGTGGGAGTTTAGCTAAATCTGCATGCTGGTGGTTGGGGAGCTGAATTTGTGTGGTTAACAAAGGAATTACAGAAACAAAATGTTGACAGACAACAATAAAGAGCTGGGTGAAATAATGTATAAATTGGGACAAGTACATAGCAGCTTACCTTGGATCAATCAAGATCACAAGCTGAAGGAGGGGACCCAGAGACACTCCTGCAAACAGAAGACATGTCAGAATAAATGTGTGTGCGTGCGCACAATTCTGTGAAGAGGCACAATTCTGTATTTACTATATACAAAAGCTTCTCAATATGTTAATGAGAAACAATTATTATATTAAGGCATTATATGGGAAGAATGTAGAACAAACCTAGATGTATATAGAAACAACATTTGACACACTTATCACTTAACTAATATATTATGTAGATTACATGTTCCACTGTTATTAATTAATTTGTATCAGATACAACATATATAAGCAACTAAATTAACTCTCTTGCCATGAGAAAGCTGTTTTTCCACGTTCTGGTTAACACAATCTCTTTTCTACAGAATGTATGTTAAACTGTGAATGTATATAGAATTCTACAGATATATGAAGACAAACGTGTTAATCAAAATGTAATGATGACTGGCACCTTTTTTGTCTTTCTAGGCCACAGTGTTATATTGTGCTATGAGGAGGCAGGGGACTCAAGCCCATGGCAATGGCGATTGTGACTAGCAAGACCCGCCCGCGTAAAGAAATGTCTTTTACAGTTATAGCATGGGATTTCAGGACCATTGTTGTCAACATTTGTGACTAGTCTGTTTCTTCTCAGACGCTCAGCTCTCATCCTTTCTGCAATCAATTCTTCCTTCATTCTCATTCCCTTCCTGCTGTGCTCCCTCCACACAAGACGGTCCATGGCATTTTATTCACATGAGTCCACCTCAGTACCTGTATCATTCATGTCCCACCTGCACACGTCTTTATATCGCAGTAGAGGTCGCCTTTGACATCCTCTGTCTTTAATTCACCATCAAGGATGTCCTTACTGACTGCCATGCTCCATTCTTCAGGTGTGACCCAGCCACCTGTGCCTTCCTAGACTGAGCATTGAGAAGACTGTTGTAGTATATGCTCTTTCTAATACATCAGTGTTGATGATCTTGCCCTGCCACCTAATGCCAAGTATTGTTCTTAGTCATCACATGTGAAAGCTATTAAGCCGTCTTTCCTGGTGCGAATAAGTTTACCAAGTTTCACTGCCATTAAGCACGAGTGCTGAGACACAAGCCTGATAATCAAAATGTAATATTGTAACACTAATTGTTATATTCTTTAATGGCACAGTCATTACTGTATATGGTTTCCTGTTAGGAGACCAGTGCCAGTCTTAAACAAACAGCTCCTGTTATTGGACAAACTAGCAATAACAGCTCCCTTAGTTGGACAAACTAGCAATAACAGCTCCCGTAGTTGGACAAACTAGCAATAACAGCTCCCGTAGTTGGACAAACTAGCAAAAACAGCTCCCGTACTTGGACAAACTAGCAATAACAGCTCCCTTAGCTGGATAAACTAGCACTCACCTGACAAGAGAGTGAATCCGGTGTAAATCCCCATCCTCTGGCCAAGATTCTTCCTTTCATGTTTCACAGAGATGAGCCAAAACAGAAGTCCAATGGCTGCCAGTGTGGTCATCAGATACCACTGCCAACAACAATATGGCAAATTAAACTTATAAAACACACAAGAGCTTCCATACAATTTTTCTGTATGAGAGACAGACTTTAAGAGGAAGAATATCGGTATGAGAGACAGACTATCAGTTTAAGAGGAAGAATATCGGTTTGAAAGTAAGCTGGTCAAGTTTCCTATCCAGATTTGAGATATTACATTGTTTACACGTTCAAATTTGTTGCCTACAAAAACAATACGTACCATAAAGCAGTGTCAGTTCTGACATTTTTATTTCCCTTCAAGAGATTAAGACTCTCTGCATTACCGAGGATCTGAAACCAGATCTTCAGCATGGGATAACCGGTAATTTATTGTTACACATGCTCTTCTCCCCACTCCCCCATAACTATGACAGATTACAAAGAAATAAACCATCTTATCATGCAATAGATTTATTCTTTGTCCTGTGTGTCAGTGCATGTCACCTAGGGCTCACTGTCTATTTCTCCATTGTGTTCTGTGTGTCAGTGCATGTCACCTAGGGCTCACTGTCTATTTCTCCATTGTGTTCTCTCCTGTGTGTCAGTGCATGTCACCTAGGGCTCACTGTCTATTTCTCCATTGTGTTCTCTCCTGTGTGTCAGTGCATGTCACCTAGGGCTCACTGTCTATTTCTCCATTGTGTTCTCTCCTGTGTGTCAGTGCATGTCACCTAGGGCTCACTGTCTATTTCTCCATTGTGTCCTATCCCGTGGAATCACCTAGACATCATGGATAGAATCCAGATCAGCACATTTGGGCCTCTCTAATCAATGTTCACTTCAGGGTTTTTCCTGGAATTCATCATTTCCTCAATTACTTCCATTTCAGTGCCCGTCTGGTGATTCTCTCTTCATATCTTCTTCAAATGTGCCCTATAAAAAAAAAAAAAAAAAGCTTTTTTCCCCAACTGACATAGACCCCTTAATATGTTCGGCAGACCACCAGTTGGGAACATCTGCCACATATTTTAAGTATCAGTTCTGTGAAAATTCAAAGATATTACCTGTCCTAGACCGGTCCAAAAATGGACATAAGCTCCCAGAGCTGCGGACAGCATTCCCACTGACAAAGTGCCGTAAACATTTTTCAAATGGGACTGGACGTTTGGCTCCCTGGATAAATACACAAAAACAGTAGAATAACAAAGCAAATCAATTTACTTCTCTGTTACTTCTCTCTCAAGCCTAATATGCTGATTTCCACTGACTCTGTCTCCATTAGCCTTGCAAATATTGAAAATCACTCTATGCTGAAGCAAAGGCATTTCGCGAGAAAGAAGAGGAAGTGCACTGGTTGATTCCGCCACACTACTCCACAACTTTGTATGTTTGGTGACCCATTTCTTTGTACAAACATAATTCTGTGATACATTAATTCAGTCTTCCAGCAAAGCAGAGGTTAAACTAACCCTGTATAGGAGGTGCCGACATGTATACAATTGTTCTACGCTTTACATTCATGCAAAACACCTTTTTAATGCAGTCGACACACTAATGTATCTCCCCATGTGGGTTCCGGTGTATCATTGTGGGGGGGGGGGGAAGAACAGACAGACTCACTGGGTCCCCAACAAGCATGACGCAAGAGCTGACTAATTGGGGGCTTACTTCAGAGTCAGAGAGCATCTGCCTGGGAAGCAAGGAACCAACAGTCTGCACACTAATGTATCTCCCCATGTGGGTTCCGGTGTATCATTGTGGGGGGGAAACAAACAGACCCACTGGGTCCTCAACAAGCATGACGCAAGAGCCGACTAACTGGGGGCTTACTTCAGAGTCAGAGAGCATCTGCCTGGGAAGCAAGGAACCAACAGTCTGCATACAAATAAGCAAGATCCCACAAAACGGATGCATACACAAATTTCAGGTCCTGGAACAAAGCCACAGTCCAGAAATAGACAAACAACCAGGTCTTTCCACTGGAGAATGCAAACAACAACTAATGTATTGCAATAAAGTTTGAGTTGTTTTGACTTACTACATCATTAGGTGACATGGCATTCCTGGGGCACAGAGGACAATATTAAAAAGCGGTATCTCCATATGACTAATAGACTGGCTGATTTTTTTATCAAGACAACGGAACCAGATACAAAAAGTGTAAGAACTACTTCCATGTGTGGGTTTCAGGCCACAACCCTTTTTAAAAAGGGGAAGGTGGGAAATAGACCCATTGCCCCCTAACAAGCATGTGTTAAAAGGCAACTGGGGGGGGGGGGGGGGGGGGGGTCTTCTAAGGCCACTACTTGAGGGGTGAGGAACAGTCTTCCTACAAACATGTCCGATCTGTAAAACAAATGCAGAATTAAAGTTCTGAAACAAGACTTAAGTCCACAAGTGGGTTAGCAACCAGAGCCTTCCTCAACAGTTTACAGCTAATGAATGCTGAGAAGAGTAAGAATCACCAGTAGAAACTTGTGAATAGAACTAACTTCTGATGTGTCCTGTCCCCTGAAAATATCTCAACACTTGTATCTTTCATAGCCTGCTTGAACAAGTTTATATCATAGTAGATGTCAACCATGAAATCTACCCATCTGTAATTTACCATAGATAATGCTCCTATGGTCTCTATCATCTTCAAAATGTCTTCTTGTCCTCCAACCTAATGTCAAATGACCAGTTTAAACTCTGGCTGTAAACTGCTGTAACTTTAGAGAAACTGATCTACAGTGATCTATCAGTTTCCTTACACATGAAAAATAAACATATCACCAACGCCATTACAAACAAAACTCCACTTATACACGTTCTTTACAAACATAACTCCAGTTGTACTCATACATGTTCTTTACAAACATAACTCCAGTTGTACTCACACATGCTCTTTACAAACATAACTCCAGTTGTACTCATACATGTTCTTTACAAACATAACTCCAGTTGTAGTCATACATGTTCTTTACAAACATAACTCCAGTTGTACTCAAACATGTTCTTTACGAACATAACTCCAGTTGTACTCATACATGTTCTTTACGAACACAACTCCATTTGTACTCATACATGTTCTTTACAAACATACCTCCAGTTGTACTCATACATGTTCTTTACAAACATAACTCCAGTTGTACTCATACATGTTCTTTACAAACATACTCATACATGTTCTTTACAAACATAACTCCAGTTGAACTCATATAAGTTCTTTTAACAGTAGAGGAAACACATCAATATGTGTTTTCAAAACAATGGTAGTCAAGTTTTCTTTTTGCAGACGATCAATGTCCAATACACCATCAAGAACAGAATTTACAATATCATATTGACTCCTTACATTAAACCTGCATACAGTATGACACGAGAATAAACAAAGAAAAAACTGCGGTAATGAGGATAGGCAGGAAATATAATAACATGAATGTCCATATTCACAGAACAAGTATGACAATTCAAATATCCAGGATGCATATTTACAGAGGTTGGCAGACTCGACAGAGATAAACGCCAGAGAACAGAAAGGAAATGCTGTCACCTACCAGTCAACTGCTTAGACACCCAAATGTTTCCCTTCCAGCAAAACAGCAAATGATTAATAACATCTTTAGCACTACTTTATGTTAGCAATGCCAAATATGGACAATTAATAGGGCATTAGAACAGAAAATGACTACATGTTAAATGCACTGTCTCCGCAAGGTCACTAACAACACTAAATGAGACAGGTTTACGAATTCCAGCATTAGGGAGAAAGTTGCAAGATTTTGTCTGGATTATATTGACAGACAAAAAAAAAATGAAATGGTTCGGCCATCTAGTGAGAATGCAGCCAGGACAGGACTGCATCTGAGACTTTTTACTGTAGAACTCTGTGAGGGAGGTGAGAGGAAGACCACGAAGAGATGGATAAATGGTGTGGCTGAAACCTGCAAAAAGATGAACAAAATCCATCACTTAAGCCACCCAAGAAGCGCAAGACCAATACAGAAAACCACGACACTGGGCCACAACCTGGTATCAGTGAGACAACAAAAGAAAAAGGTAGTTACGTTGAGCATACTGTGTAAATAAGACCAGTTTTCACAAAAATAGTTAATTTTCCTATGTATGGAAACCTATGGGACACCCTGTATATTATGAGGTAGGCATTGGTCACACTCATCTCTTCATCAGCATACACTCAGTTTTTCATAACCAAAACAGAACTCTGTATGCATTTTTTAAAATCTAAAAACATATCTTGTTCCCTCAAATATTTATTGCAAAAATATAATTATTATTATTTTTTGAATTTATGAATAATTTATTTATAGTGATTAATTTACGTATATAGTGATTAATAATGATTAAGGAGTTATTTACGATTTATTTGCGCATTATAATTTATTATTATTATTATTTCTCTTAATAAATTAAGTAATTAAATTATGATTGCAATAGTCATGAAAAATCTAGAAATTTAGTTTACGAATAACAGATGAAAACAGACATTACAAAGCCACCTCTTTCGTTTTTAAAGCTTCTAAAATCTGAGCATAAAACAGCACGCATAATTCTTAATAACAAAACGATGTTCTGAACTTTGTATCTGTGAACTCATTTCGTTCAGACCCGTCCTTGCATTTCTGAAGCTGAACAATTGCGTCGTCTGCTTGACGCCAACAAATATATTTACAAACTCCATTCCACGCGCTAAGCCAACATGCCTAGTCAACTAATTAATACTCAACAACATATAATCTAAAATAATGTGAAAATATTTATTTACAGATGGTCAAAGTTGAATAGAGCGGGTGAAAGAACTCCTCCGTTGTTTGTTGCACGAAATCGCGAAGCCATCTTGAAGACTGATCGGTTGTGTTGTGACGTCACCGCCCCTGCTGATCTCCCCTGCCGGAAGTCCTCGTGTCCTTCACACACAGAACATTCCAGACTTAAAAAAACATGACTCAAGAAATACACAAAATAATTAAAGTTTACTATTGAACATCTTTAAAAACACTTAAAAATATGTACTAAATACGCATTTTTAGACTTAGTAAAATTATTTACTTTTTGTCTCAATGTTTTATTATTTTAAACTTACAAATAAACGTTTTATGCATAATGTAGTTTTTGTTTTGTTCTGCATAATTGTTTGTGAAGTATTTGTAACCAGTAATAATAACATTGGTTGCAGCCGCGCGTCTGCTGTTGATTATATTTTTACCACAAAAACGGGAAATGTTTGGTCCTGACAAATCTTAGTGGTTCTCTTCATTCTGTCTCCATAAATATCTACTGTTTCATACAGTCTGACATTTACACGCCAGACATTGCATCAAGCAAAGATTTTTCTTCTGAAACGTAAGTTGAAAAGGCTAGTTTAGTTTCTATGGGAAAATTTACGCTGGCTACCAAGGTAGTTGTAGGTAGGTAGAAGAACTAACTAGCAGCCAATGGCTGACTGAATAAATTATATTTAAGATTGTGAAAGATTATTAAGAGAATCCATGTTGTTTAAAATATGTGAAATGATAATCCGGACTTGACTTGCTCGCCCATTTTAACATCATCAGTCAGTAAGTCCTTTTTACGGAGCGTGGCTCTCTTCACAGCGCGCCTGAAAGTATCCCTTTCCCTAGCCAGCGCTCGGGCCCCGTGTGCTTTCAATGCCAATGCATCTTCAATGTCCTGTATCCATCTTCGCGGTAGTCGACCCCTGCCTCATCTTCCACAAACTACAACTTCCATCACTGTCTTTTTTCAAGCCAATATTGACGCTTGATGCAGCCAAAATACTTCAACTTTCGGGACAAGGCTGTTTATGAGCCAGTTCTCCCTGATATTTGACTCGTTTAGAATGTCGATGTTTTTCCGCTTCTTAATCCATGGTATTCTAAGAATTTTTATAACATTTCAGTTCAAAAACTCCAATCTTTTTCCTCAGTGACTGAGTGAGAGTCCAGGACTCGCAACCATAAGTTGCCACAGGAAAAATGCATGATCTCAAGATTTTTACTTTAACCAATTTACTAGCGCTTTGCCATAGGTTCTTCATGTCGTTTAATCTCTGCATTGCTAATGTAAGTATTTTTCGGACTTCTTTCAAGCAGTCGCCACTGTTGTTCACTAAAGAGCCCAAGTATTCGAAATCTGTTACATTTTCTATTTCTTCATTTTTGATTGTGATATATGGTTGGTGTGCTGAATTTACTGAGGACATCATTTTTTCTTCTAAATTTAGAATAAGATTCACTTCTTTGCTGTGCTTTTTGACGGCCAGAATTAATTTATTAAACCTTGTACACTGTTAGAAAGAAGAACAGTGTGGTCTGCATATCTGAGTTCTGGTATAGGATTACCTTTAATTTTTAGTGGGTCAAAGCTCTCAGATGCCTCGTTAATTGCATTTCTCATAACATTTTCAGCATATATGTTAAAAAAGGAAGAGAGAAAGAATGCAACCCTGCCTCACTCGTTTCAGCACTTCAAACCATTCTGATGTTTCACCAGTGACTCTGACTGACTCTGGTTGACCTTGATGGTCTGTGGGTTGGGTCTGTGACAGACAGTCTAACCTATAGCACACTAGACCCGGACACTTACAGAGCACATACCACACATTGTAATGAAACATCACAGGTGAATGAAAAGACAGTTGACTTCACACTGTGTTGGCACCTTTTACCCGAAACGTCGTCTTTGCTAACTTAAGTACTCACTAGACACACCATCCTGTTCCCGTGGGCAATTTCCAGGACCGAACCCACACCCTATGTGATACACTCTTTTCTCACACTACTGGACACCACCAGGACTGCAGGAGTGTGAGGACACTGTGCCAATGATAGATAGTATCACAAAAACCATTCCAACACCTATTTACCAAAATACCTCAACACTAATTGTACACTATAGTAGGACAAAACAATGGGCACCGTCAGACGCTACACAACACCGAGATACTGTACCATTCTAACGTAACTAGTCAACACAATCTATCCGGTCACCACAATGCTATTATCACCCACTAAGATATTAATCCATCCAGAACTATGTCTCCTGTCTACCATCCAAAATCATACATGCTAAATCCTGTGCCACAACCTCCTGGGTATTTTTCTTAGTCCATGAACTCAGTCTGTGAAGTCAGTCCGTGAACTCAGTCTGTGAAAGTCTGTGAAGTCAGTCCATGAACTCAGTCTGTAAAGTCAGTCCATGAACTCAGTCCGTGAACTCAGTCCCGTGAAGTCAGTCCATGAACTCAGTCTGTGAAGTCAGTTCGTGAACTTAGTTTGTGAACGCTGTCTGTGCAATCAGTCCGTGAACTCGGTCCCAGCCATGTAGAAAGCTTGGTCTCATCAGGCGAGCATTCGATTCACCAGGACAGAACACGTCCAGTCAAACTTTATCACCGTCAGCCGTATTGGGTTGAACTGTAGTTTCCACACATACATGAAACAGTCATGCTCACACCATGATGACCGGTCCATCATCTGTGTATTCTGTATGCACACACACACAGTCCACCATCTCTATGGTCTGCACTGACCCATGACTGTTAAGACAGGGTTCTGACAAGAAGCTGCTTTTTAATATCATCTATGTCCCTAGTGATGTTGCTCTTGACCATGTTTATTTCATTCATAGTCACTCTGCTCTGTCTTCTATGCTTTCATTTCGGACGCCTTCTGTCTCAAGTCTCTCATTTGCTAACTTTGTGCTTTCTTTGTCTTTGGCGCAGTCTAGATGTTCTTATTCCGCTTTCACCGGCTGTAAATTCCAGTGGAAAGTTCTGGTTGTTCGTTAATTTCTGGAATTTGGTCTTGTTTCAGAATGTAAGTTTTATATGCACATCCTTTCTACAGATCTGGTTTATTTGTGTGCAGACAGTTAGTTCCTTGCCTCTCAGGGAGATGCACTTTGACTTTGAAGGAAGTACTCCTAATGACTTTAGGACATGCTTGGGTGGGAGGCAGTGGCTCTATTCTTTTCCTCTCAAAATAGGCCCCAGAACTCACATGGTGAATCTGGGTGTTCAAAATGCATTAGTTCCATTCAGTGAAAGGGGTTCTTAACTCTTTCCATAACCAAGTGAGGATAAAAACCACTGTGAAATATCGTGAATTGTTGACTTTGAACATTGCAATTTATGCAGCATTAGTGACTATTCGCTTGGCCACGTTATGAGAATGAATCCTGATATACTTGCCAAAACAGCTCTCACGTGGATACCAGAGGGAAAGAGAAAACAGTGGTGCCCAAAAACAACATGGAGACGAACGATGGAAAGCGACCTGAGTGCGGCATCTTTGACATGGAAAACTGCATTGAAGATTGCACAGGACAGGAAAGCATGGAAAGTCCTCTCTGAAGCCTCATGTGCTACTAGGCATAACGAGAACTGATAATGATAGTGACTATTTTGGAAGGCTTGGTATCATTTTTATATTCTGACCAAAAACAAGAAAAAAAAATGTGAGGGAACATTATCTGATGGAGACAAATCAAAGGGTTGATACTTCAAAGCATGTGTTGCTTGGTATTGAAACAGTACTTTTTTTTTTTTTTGGTTAAGTTACAGGTAGTTATATCATTTTATTAGTTCTTTGTATGGCTTGTTTTAAATGGAGGTAATGTAATTGATGGATACTTTCAGCATGGCCTCTGAGTCCAGCATTGACCAGATCAATGCTGTTCTGCTGCAGTTAAGCAAAGAAGTTATTCGATGTGTCAATTTTGCAGCCATCAAGCACAAAGACCAGCGAAGGAAAGATGAGCAGCAAACACCGTATGTCAACCATGTCATTGGTAAGAGATAGTTGATGTATTACATTCTTCCTCTTACATATCCTCTTTCATACTTAAATAATGTGCAGATTTGATGCAGAATAGTTTTCCCTAGGTACTTTACTATTTGATGAACGCAGAAAAAGAAGTTTATTATTTAAGGATTGATTGTTCCTATAATTTTTCAAAACTATATTGTTCCCCGTGTGGGTTCTGGGGCCCTATTATAGGGAAAAGAATAGACCCACTGCCTACCCAAAAGCATGTCGTAAGAGTCGACTAATTGGGAGCTTTCTTTGAAGTCAGAGTGCATCTGCCTGAGAAGCAAGGAACCAACAGTCTGCACACAAATGAGTCAGATCTGTTTAACGTATGCAACACTCAGGTTCTGAAACAGGACTGCGGTCCAGAAGTGGGCAAACAACCAGAACTTTACACCGGAGTTTACAGCCGGTGAACGCGAAGAGGAAGAAGAAAACCATATTGGTGTTAAAATGATATTAAAGGCTAATAAAGGAATTTCAAATGAATATCGAAAGGAAAACAAAAACAAACAGATCACTAAACATTTTCACATCATACACCTTTGAAATAATCAGGTCCAAATACCAGTCTCCCAGAATATTTGCGTTCACATTTATGACAATGAGCTGTTGATTGTGCAGGAGTTTGAATACGTAGACTGTTGAATTGCAAAACTAAACAGATGAATAGGAATGGCTTCTGCAGTACTTGCCAAACTCACATCAAGAGTGGTCAAACAAAAAGCTTATGGTTGGGACCAAACTTACAGTTTTCGAAGCTTGCATCCTGGGCATGCTCCTTTATGGCGGTGAAACCTGGACTCTGTATGGTTCTCAAGAAAAACAACTGAATACCTTTCACGTTGGCGGTGAAACCTGGACTCTGTATGGTTCGCAAGAAAAACAACTGAATACCTTTCACGTACGCTTATGAGATGCATTCTTGGTATATCCTGGCAAGACTTTGTCCCCCATGAATGTATGCTAACAATTTTTTTTTGTAAAAAGGCTGGCCATCAGTGTACTGTCTGTTGAAGCGATGGTTGGGACATGTCTCACGCATGGAGAATGGCTGCATTCCAAAGGATCTCATATATGGTGAGCTGGTAATGTGATAAGGCCAAATCTGCGCTATAAGGACATATGCACACTCGACCTGGAAGGTATCAACATTGACACGGACACTAGGGAGAGATCAGCTTCAGACTGATTCCTTTGGAGGTAGACAGTGAAAGACACACTGTTGCTGTTTGAAAGCAGCCAAACGCAGCAAGCTATAGTGGACTATATGGCAGAAACTGCCACTCACGCATTGGACTTAACAGTCAAAGCAGACTCTGTTCCCAAAATCAGCAGCACAACTCTATGGTCCCCAGGAACTGATGGGTGCAGACACTATATTCTCATCTCCAGAAGTTTCTTTAGTTATTTTCCATTGCAGTTTTTTTTTAAACTGTTGTCAATATGAAGTAAAATATGTTACATTTTTCATCAAACCTGCTGCCCAGAATTGACCATTTTTGTTAGACTTTTCTTTCTTCTCAACAAAACCTTTGACTCTCTTCAGTTTATCTGCTAGGTAGCAAGCAGTCTTGTCTAGTTTTGCATCATTACACTCCCCTTTGACCAATGGTCCTAGCCTGGCGAGGGGGAGGGGGGGGGTGGAGAAGAGGTTTCGAGGGAGGAGGTGGGGGCATGGTGCAGTCAGGCAGTTTTGAAATTTAGTGCATTCTTACTTGTCATAATCCATTTACTAGCATTTTGTCAATTTAATTATAAATAAAAAAGTTTTGAAAACTATTTATAAAACAAAAAGCTTAGGATGTATTTTTGTCATTGCCAGTTTGTACATATACCAGTAAAAATTTTATTATTATGATAATACGAGAATTTAATTATAGATCAAGAAGCTGGTACTGAAAGTGTTAATTTCCATGCAATAGCATTGGAGTTACTTGAGCCCTTATATTGGAGGAAGGTTAGTGTAGAGACTTTGTTTCTGACCTGGTGCTAAAGTAAAGTACCATTCCATGTCCTCTGTGATGTACAAAGGCGGCAACATCCACAACTGCCCCTTGCCCTCCCAACCTCATGAGGCTGTTGTCAGGATGACTACTGAACCAGCACATGGTGTTGTGGCAACAGGCTCTCATACTGGTGACACCCGTCTACACCTCTCTGCCATCATCCTAGAAACAGGTTTATAAACAAGGACACGTCAGTAGGACCGACACGTCTACCAGAGTCTGAGTGCTTCTGTCTGAGAGGCCAGGAACTGACAGTCTGCACACAGATAAGTCAGATCTGTAAAATGTTTGTGCGCACAGCACTCAAGTTCTAAAAGAAGACCAAAGTTCAGAATTGGACAAATAATCAGGACTTTTCACAGGCGTTTACAGCTGGTGGACATCACAGAGATGGAGATAAAGATGTGGTCTAGAATACTCGAACACCTAACATTCAAACGAGATTGGGGAAAAAGGGACACACAGTAAGGGAGAGGGGGGGGAATGCCATGTGCTATGGGAATACCTTTCTCTACTTTTGTGCATTGTAATATCTTCTTGTCTATCTTCTATCCACTGTTGCTATTTATTAGTTCCTTTGTATTTCTGTTTTGTTATTCACTGGTATTAATTCAAGCTTGTTTTTCTTCTTCTTTCTCTGAAACCTTCAGGAGTGGCATACATCCTCATTAGTGAAGGAGGGGTCTCAGATCTCTCAGTTATACAAGTAGGTTTGTGAGTATGAGCTGACCACTGACTGTGTGTGAGTCACTGTTCTGTTTGTTTGACTGTTCAGTCTGTGCAGGTGACTGTTCACTTTGTGTGAGGGCCTGTTCAGTCTGTGTAGTTGACTGTTCACTTTGTGTGAGGGCCTGTTCAGTCTGTATAGTTGACTGTTCACTTTGTGTGAGGGCCTGTTCAGTCTGTGTAGTTGACTGTTCACTTTGTGTGAGGGCCTGTTCAGTCTGTATAGTTGACTGTTCAGTCTGTATAGTTGACTGTTCACTTTGTGTGAGGGCCTGTTCAGTCTGTATAGTTGACTGTTCAGTCTGTATAGTTGACTGTTCACTTTGTGTGAGGGCCTGTTCAGTCTGTATAGTTGACTGTTCAGTCTGTGTAGGTGACTGTTCAGTCTGTGTGAGGGCCTGTTCAGTCTGTATAGTTGACTGTTCAGTCTGTGTAGTTGAATGTTCAGTCCGTATAAGTGGCTGTTCAGTCTGTGTAAGTGACTGTTCAGTCCGTATAAGTGGCTGTTCAGTCTGTGTAAGTGACTGTTCAGTCTGTGTAAGTGACTGTTCAGTCCTCGTAAGTGACTGTTCAGTCCTCGTAAGTGACTGTTCAGTCCGTATAAGTGGCTTTTCAGTCCGTGTAAGTGGCAGTTCAGTCTGTGTAAGTGACTGTTCAGTCCTCGTAAGTGACTGACTTTTCAGTCTGTGTAAGTGACTGTTCAGTCAGTGTAGGTGACTGTTCCGTCTAAGTGACTGTTCAATATGTGTGACTGTTCAGTCTATCCATATGACTGTTCAGTCTGTGTAAGTAACTGTTCAGTCTGTGTAAGTGACTGTTCAGTCTGTGTAAGTAACTGTTCAGTCTGTGTAAGTGACTGTTCAGTCTGTGTAAGTAACTGTTCAGTCTGTGTAAGTAACTGTTCATTCTGTGTAAGTAACTGTTCGGACTGTTCAGTCTGTGTAAGTAACTGTTCAGTCTGTGTAAGTAACTGTTCAGTCTGTGTAAGTAGCTGTTCAGTCTGTGTAAGTAACTGTTCAGTCTGTGTAAGTAACTGTTCAGTCTGTGTAAGTAACTGTTCAGTCTGTGTAAGTAACTGTTCAGTCTGTGTAAGTAACTGTTCAGTCTGTGTAAGTAACTGTTCAGGCTGTGTAAGTAACTGTTCATTCTGTGTAAGTAACTGTTCATTCTGTGTAAGTAACTGTTCGGACTGTTCAGTCTGTGTAAATAACTGTTCAGTCTGTGTAAATAACTGTTCAGTCTGTGTAAGTAACTGTTCAATCTGTGTGACTGTTCAATCTATGCATATGACTGTTTAGTCTGTGTGACTGTTCAACCTATGCATATGACTGTTTAGTCTGTGTAAGTAACTGTTCAGTCTGTGTAAGTGACTGTTCAATCTGTGTGACTGTTCAGTCCATGCATATGACTGTTCAGTCTGTGTAAGTGACTGTTCAATCTGTGTGACTGTTCAGTCCATGCATATGACTGTTCAGTCTGTGTAAGTGACTGTTCAATCTGTGTGACTGTTCAGTCCATGCATATGACTGTTCAGTCTGTGTAAGTAACTGTTCAGTCTGTGTAAGTAACTGTTCAGTCTGTGTAACTGACAGTTCAGTCCGTGTAAGTGACTATTCACTGACATTTACTGTTTAACTGTATGATCTCCAGGCAGCACTGCTCCATGACACGCTAGAGGACACAAATACCAGTTTTTACGAACTCCAAGCAGAGTTTGGGGAGGATGTTGCAAGTAAGTGTCTAGTTGTATTTATGGAATAATGCAAGCGAAGCAATCATACACATGTCCAGTCACTGGCTAATCATGAAATGAATGACCCAGGCTTCGCTTCCTCATACTGGTTTAGCAGCACTCTCTCAGACAGCCTACACTAGCTGCCACTACCGCTGAGCTAACCGCTACAGTGCCTGGGTCTCCAGCTCCCTTAACTTCAGGGCTCACTGTAAGGATGAACAGGTTACATCTCCTACTCAACTTGACCTCCGTTGCTCTATGTGTAGCAGACACGGTCAGATCGGCTGACTGGAAAATGTGACGGTGCATGATGTCCAGAATGTGCACGCAGCACATCAGCCTGGTCGAAGGAACCATGCTAACTGGCAGAACTCTCAGCTCTCTCTTCTTCTTCGCGTTCACCAGCTGTACACTCTGGCAGAAAGTTCTGGTTGCTTGTCCACTTCTAGACTGCAGTCCTGTTCCAGAACCTGACTGTTGCGTGTGCATCAGTTTTACAGATCTCTTTCTCTTGAATACAGACTGTTGGTTCCTTGCCTCTCCAGCAGATGCACTCCGACTTCAAAGGAAGCTCCCAGTTAGTCGACTCTTACGACATGCTTTTTGGGAGGCAGTGGGTCTATTCTTGTTCTCCTCACAATGGGGCCCCAGAACCCACACGGGGATGCTCTCTCTCTTCAGCACACAGCTGTCACCAACATCTTTGAGTCTTGTTCCACTAGTGATCACTGCCGCTTCACATGCGTCGTCATGCAAGAAAGCTTCATTTTGAAGTAGTCCAGCTCTCTTGGCCTAACTCTGCCAACTAGGTTTCTCTTCCTTCGACTGTACTCTCGACTGTCCTCTAGACCAGTCTCTTGCGGGCGCTTCTGCCTCAAATGTTTTCTGAACTCAGCCCCAGTATATACACATGCCTGCCCCATCTGAGCTCTTCCGTGCACGCAAGACGTTCACTGTTATGCTTGATTCTGATACTTTCCGTGCGACTGCTGCTATTCGCGCACTAAGTATGATTATTTGCCCTGCACTGGGCTGACACCTTGTGAACCAACTGGTCCCTCCGGCCCTAAGTCAATACCTACTTATAATATTGACCCAAGCCAAACTGACATCTCCTGGCTTAAGTCAACTCAACCCCCCCCCCCCAATACTGTCTCAGGTCACAGGACATTCCAGTCGACTGTCGAAAACACAGTTTGCACGACATTGTCCCAAAAACAGTTGCAACCCTTTTCCACCCCTGAATCTATATGCAACAGAAGGTAAATTCTGGTAACAAATGCCTAATGAAGTCGGACGTATTGGCAAAAAGGTGCAAACATTACAGCTTTGCTGTAAACTGGCACAACAAATATACGTCACTCGAAAAAGAAGAAGCTATCATTTTATGAGCTGTGGTAGCTCAGTGGTTAGTATGATCGCCTGCCAGTCTGGTGGTTTTGTGTTTAAATCCCCACAAAAGCAGAGATTTAATTATATAACCAATACTTGACCTCCCAGCTCCAGCCAGCCTAAAATTAAGTTTAGGAAGTAATGAAGAAAGTGTGTATACAGGGAAACTTTGTTCACATGAATTCAAAGGGACCGAACAATTCAGAGGTTAAGTTTAAAAATGTGTGAAAACATGGACTGATTATAAATAATACATCCCTGCTGGGACCAAAGGTTTGTTCCTGTTAACCAGTTGTTAATCTTGAGCAAGAACATATTAACATGAGGTTTCACTGTAATTTTCACATGACCCATTGATTGCTTAGTTTCTCCTGTGTGCCCCAGGGCCCCATTGAAAGGGGGAAAGGGGTGCCCCCTAAGATGCATGTTGTAAAAGGCAACTTGTCTGGGGTTTTTCTTTGAATTTGGAGTGCTTCTGCCTGAGAGGTAAAGAATCAACAGTCTGCATATAAATAAGTGAGATCTGTAAAACGGATAAGCATGCAGAACTCAAGTTCTTGAACAAGATCATAGTCCAAAAGTGGGTGAATAATCAGAACTTTCTGCCTGAGTTTACAGCCGCTAAACATCCCCCCCCCCCCTCAAAAAAAAAGAAGCAGAGAAGAAGATGTCTCTTGTCTACAGGATATCACCACATATCTAACATGCTTGTCTACAGAATATCACCACATATCTAACACGCTTGTCTACAGGATATCACCACATATCTAACATGCTTGTCTACAGGATATCACCACATATCTAACATGCTTGTCTACAGGATATCACCACATATCTAACATGCTTGTCTACAGAATATCACCACATATCTAACATGCTTGTCTACAGAATATCACCACATATCTAACATGCTTGTCTACAGAATATCACCACATATCTAACATGCTTGTCTAAAGGATATCACCACATATCTAACACGCTTGTCTACAGAATATCACCACATATCTAACATGCTTGTCTACAGAATATCACCACATATCTAACACGCTTGTCTACAGAATATCACCACATATCTAACATGCTTGTCTACAGAATATCACCACATATCTAACATGCTTGTCTACAGAATATCACCACATATCTAACATGCTTGTCTACAGAATATCACCACATATCTAACATGCTTGTCTACAGAATATCACCACATATCTAACATGCTTGTCTACAGGATATCACCACATATCTAACATGCTTGTCAGAATGTGGAAAAGGGTCCTTAGCTTATTTTTACTTTGCATAATTTCAGCTTTAGTAATAAATGTAATAACTTGGCACTTGTTAACCTTCTTCAGATTTAGTGAAAGAGGTAACAGACGACAAGTCCCTCCCAAAGGTAGAAAGGAAGCGACTACAGGTTGAGAATGCAGCACAAGCCAGCTTCAAAGCAAAGCTGATCAAATTAGCTGACAAGCTGTACAACCTGAGAGATCTACGACGGTCCACCCCCGTGGGCTGGACGCCTGAGAGAGTGCAAGAGTACTTTGAATGGGCTGCCCAAGTGGTCACAGAGTTAAGGGGAACCAATGCAGCCATGGAGGAAAGTTTAGAGGCTTTGTTTGCAGAGAGGGGCATCAGTGTAACCTCCTAGAACTTGACCCTACAAATATTGTTGTGTATTTGTTACAAATAGTCCAGTCATTTTAGCAGAAACATTTATTTATGTACAAATAAAATACATTGCTGTCATATCTCTTGTTTAATTAATTCATCCGAGTTTGGTGATTCATCATAATTGAAATAAAATAAGTAACATAAAGTACTGTTGGTCACACTAAAGTCCACAATGAATACAAACGTATATGGTTCATGCAGCAAGTCCATGGTTTGTTCAGTAAGTTCATGGTTCATGCGGTAATTCCATGCAAGTATTCAAACTCATCTTGTGAGATGGAGCTCATACTCATGTGTCCTGAATAGTTTGACATTAATGGTAGATTATGATAATAAAACAGCAGGTTATTCACATCAGAGCACTAGCAGTGAATGTTTTGTTGTTGTTTTAAATAGAAGATACTAGCTGGGTACACTAGAGTTATTGTGCTATCTATTCGTCTGTGGCTTAGGCGTTATGAACATGCTTTGTAATGCTAGTGTGCCGGGTTCAATCCCAGCTGCGGGCCTTGTGTTGGTTTTGAGAAGCCGACCGTCCAGAAAGCAGTGGCAAACTTCTAGACGTAAACTTGCCTAGAAAATTACAACATTAAAAAAAATGCTCGAGTTGGTTCTGCAATGTCCTGTAAAGGATACGCAAATAACTTTATTCCTTAATTATGAAAGTGCTGTGAATATTCCATTATGGAAGTGCTGTGAGTGTTCCATTATGGAAGTGCTGTGAATGTTCCATTATGGAAGTGCTGTGAATGTTCCATTATGGAAGTGCTGTGAATGTTCCATTATGGAAGTGCTGTGACTGTTCCATTATGAAAGTGCTGTGACTGTTCCATTATGAAAGTGCTGTGACTGTTCCATTATGAAAGTGCTGTGACTGTTCCATTATGAAAGTGCTGTGAATGTTCCATTGTGAAAGTGCTGTGAATGTTCCATTATGAGAGTGCTGTGAATGTTCCATTATGAAAGTGCTGTGAATGTTCCATTATGAAAGTGCTGTGAATGTTCCATTTTGAAAGTGCTGTGAATGTTCCATTATGAAAGTGCTGTGAATGTTTCAGTATATAAATATTGATACAATCATGATGTGTTTCACTTTGAATAATCTACAAAGTACAGAGCGGACCTGATAAGGAGAACTCAACGGGAACCTAAGAAATGGTTCTTAGCCAGGGATAAACAAATTATTCTTTACAACAGAAGTTATCATATCCACGATCGCTTTAAGCGATCTGCACTGTATATTATTGTGTGCTTGTTTATGCTGTTTGAAGATTTTAGACATTTCATATCAAGTTTGTGTAAACATTCTTTTGTTTCATTTTGACTGATACCTCCACTTGCCCTAACATATAGTGAATCATTCAATGTTTAGAATACAATATTTATGTAACATGTCTTGCTTTTTAAATATGTTTTTTGTTTTTGTTTTGTTTGCACTAACATTTGTTGCTTGCTAGATTTGTGCTCCCCCTTCCAATTACTTTTACAGTTGAGTCTGGATAAGTAGAAGTCGCAGGGACCTAAGAAAATTCTTCCACTTATCAGGATTTCTACTTATCCAGACAGTACACACAATAAAGCAGATTTGCCGGGACTAAGCTGGTCATGTCGACTTAACCGAAGTTCGACTTATCCGACTTTGACTTATGTGGACTCAACTGTAGATATCTACATTATTTGTCTATGAAGCTACAAAAACGAAAGCTACAGGAACACTCATACTGGACAAAGGAGACATTCTGAAGAAAATTTATAAACAAATGTTGATAGAAGATGTGGGGCTAGATGAAATAACGTATAAGAATATGTAAACATGGAATTAAGTGTGGCTCAGGCGAGGAGTGACATAAGAGAGGAAGAGGATGATGAGTTTATAATCAGTGTGCTACGGGAACAGTCAGTATCTACACCTTAAGATGGACATTTACTATGGAAGACAGAGCATGTATGAGTATGCCCAGTGTGCTATGATGTAGATTCTTTAATCAGTAAATTGGCTATGAAAGATCACTTTTATTGCACATGAAGATCTCCATGGTTGCACAGTTTCCATTTCCATTAACCATATGGTGGAGTTGGATCGCAGGTCAACCTACCCTTACATTTTTACTAGTTTAAGATCTGGTAAGTAAAGGTGGCTAGGATGATGTTGACCTCATTCCCCCATTGAGTGACTCTAACATCACTGGCTACATATTGCATTACCCTCATCCCCCATTGAGTAACTCTAACATCACTGGCTACATATTGCATTACCCTCATCCCCCATTGAGTGACTCTAACATCACTGGCTACATATTGCATTACCCTCATCCCCCGTTGAGTGACTCTAACATCACTGGCTACATATTGCATTACCCTCATCCCCCATTGAGTAACTCTAACATCACTGGCTACATATTGCATTACCCTCATCCCCCATTGAGTGACTCTAACATCACTGGCTACATATTGCATTACCCTCATCCCCCATTGAGTGACTCTAACATCACTGGCTACATATTGCATTACCCTCATCCCCCATTGAGTAACTCTAACATCACTGGCTACATATTGCATTACCCTCATCCCCCGTTGAGTGACTCTAACATCACTGGCTACATATTGCATTACCCTCATCCCCCGTTGAGTGACTCTAACATCACTGGCTACATATTGCATTACCCTCATCCCCCATTGAGTGACTCTAACATCACTGGCTACATATCGCACAGGTCAAAACCGGATCTAAAGTTTCTGAGGTGTTGGTCACTGAAAATATGGGCTTGACGTCACGTTCCCAGCATGCCTTAGTGACATGTGGACCCGGTTCTTTCTTGGTATCTGTGAACTGGCAGTTTCATTTGTACCATCAGTCATGTACGATCAGTCACCTGCCATCGTCACAGGGAGATTGTCAGCTGTTGCTCTCCAGCTGTCACCCTGCGTGTCGTTTGACAGACTTTTATCTTCCACTTGTATCAGTCTCTCTCTCTCTCTCTCTCTCTCTCTCTCTCTCTCTCGCTCTCTCTCTCTCTTCCCCCCCCCTCTTTCTATTTTCCCCTTCAGTTGATTCTTTTTTATGGCTGATATATTTCACCTGTATATTTTTTAACCCTCTTGCTACAGAAACACTTTTTAAAAAAATCCTTTTAAAAAAAAAATGCACAATTTGACACAGGTCATGTGTTCAGTTTATTTACCTACATTCGCCAATACTTGTCTCTCTGGAAATGTATAAAGATATATAAAGGAAATAAACAGTGAACATGAACAGGGTGAATATTAAATGGAATATATTGGCTGGGGCCTTTAAAACAAACATCTACTGGATGACTCCTTCTGTGACCTCTGAAACCTGTGTGTATGTATCCTGATCTTCTAAATGTTTGCACTGACATGAAAACGGCCAAATAGCATTAACTGTGCAGGTCACTATAGACGAGTTGTAGAAGTCACATTTATGGGGAAATTGGGCCCACCCACTGTAACATCCTGGGGTGAAAGGTGAAGTTTATTTTGTCAGCTCCATTTTTATTCTGCTTCTGTGATACCTCTGCAGTTGATTGTTTTCCATAAAATATATTCCACCCTTCTCCGGAGCTTTCACTTTTTAATTGCTTGTTCATTGACCTGGGTTTTCTGCAGCTTGTACAAATGTGTAATAATACTAACCTCACACAGTTCCCATCTATAATGTTGTCTTTCTTTCTAGATGTCACTGTTTATGTAGGAAATATTTTTTGTGCATTCCTTCCTGTTCTGCTTTTGATTTCTGTTTGACTTCTATCACCACCTGTTATTACATGTCCAAGTTTACAGAGAAACTTATGACAGTAATCTGTTTTGTAGAAGGCTACCAGAGCAATGTTGACACTGGTTCAGTATTTACTGTATAGAGTAGTTTACTGACCAACACACAAAGATCATACATATGTTTATATTAATATAGTTATATTTATATGTGCATATACAATTGGTTTTTATACATTTACGTGTATTTGTATGTTATATGTTGTATTCTTGGATATAAACATTTGTATGTACATAGTTATTTACATGAGAAAAGGGTGTTTTCATTTTTAGGATGGCAATTTGTAAATCTGGATCAGAGTTTTAACCTCTTGACATGATTCAGTGCTGAACTCACCAACAGTTATTGACAGCTCTTAGTGGTGGGGTGTGTCTGACTCAACTCCTTCCAGTTGTGCTGCTCATTCTGTCTCATCAGCCGGTCCTTTCAAGAACATCAGTTTTGTTACGGCACGCAATAAAGTCCCTTTCAGTATTTTTACTTTACATTCATACTATGAATTGTATATATGAACATAATATGCGCGATATATAAAATACAATTGCCATATGAATAATGAGTGCTTGGAAGGGCCTAGTGTAAGACAGGCCTGCGTGCCCAATTTGTAACCCTTTGGAAATAAAAGTTTGTTAGTTTGTTTCTTTCTATAGCCTATTCTCCAGTCCTCTGTGCTTTCATAGCCAGTGTTGCTTCAGTATCTTGTATCCACCTTCACGTTCACGAAGGTCTGCCTGTGCCTCGTGTCATAACCAGTGTTGCTTCAGTATCTTGTATCCACCTTCACGTTCACAAAAGGTCTGCCTGTGCCTCATGTCTAGACACCTTACCCTTAGAAAGAACTGTTTCTTTCTAGCCCAGCATTCTGTTGAACATGGTGGAAGTATCTCAGCTTTTGGGGAAAGGATGCTGTTTATGAGTCAGTTCTCTCGATGTTCAGATCACCCAGGATGTCAGTGTTTTTCTTCTTCAATGTCTTCTAAGAATTGTTCTGTCATTATATCTGATAATATTTAAATTTAACTCCTCCCTTTCTTCTTATAGTCCATGCCATACGTATTGATCGTTGTCACTGCCACAGCCTTCTGCCTCATGCAGGGCCAGTCATTTCTGATGCAGATGTGCTCCCACAGCAGCATGTCAAACAGTCCTGCATCCTTTCTCTCTTGTTTTCTATGGTTATTATT